GTAATTTTGTTTGTGCCTATGTCAAATTTACATAAGTATATTCAGACTTAAGAAACCAATGTTCTCCATCGGAAAACTAGAAAGTAATTATATCTTCCTAAAATATTTAATGCTCACCTTGCGCACGAGCAAATGAAAGGCTATTCTCACAGTCCCATACAAAAAGTTACACCTGTCGCATTGCAAGACTAATCTTTACAGGTTGGAACATTGCTACTCTACATACACTAAGACTTAAGAATGACATTCAAGTGAATCTACTTCGACACTCTATTCGTCAACAATAAGACAGCTCTATGATTCATGTTTCAATTACTCTTTACGTTCTTCAGGAAACTATAGTGTACCGAAATTAGTGTGATCACGCAGTAAGTCTAATCATTTAAATAAATTTATCAGATTGTCACGTAGGTAAAGTTATCTCTAGATTCGAGTATTTCTATTCTGAATTTGCCCAGAAACTTGTTTCATATACAACTCGATGAGCTTTATCCAACGATATGCTTAGATTTTACATAACCCGATCTATAATTTTCAGATTTTTACATCGATGTGAAGCTAGCACGACCAGTAGCTATCACGACGGATTTAGATAAATCTAAAATCCTGAATACTTGGAATTTTGAGGGTGGGATCTGAGTGCGGATGCTGGTGTACACGTCACTGAGCACCCTCACCCAACTTCCGTCCCAACAACGCCCAACGTTATAGATTCCAAGCTCACCTAAATCCGACGTTGTAGCTATTCGTCGTGCTAGCTTCACATCGATGATTTTTACAGCACTACCCATGGGCCCAAAAATCATATTTTTGGCTCTGGCAAATCTGAACATACCGTTAGATAGAACTCGTTGAGTTGTAGTCGGAACAAGCATAGGAGATTTAGAAGAAATTTCTGAACGAATCCGGAAATAATTTCACCTATATCGGATTGTCCACGACATCTCGTTAGCACAGGCGACTACTTGATGCAAATCTATATCATCAAAATCGCGCCACTTTTAGCGATTAATTGTTATTAAATCACCAATTTTTGCACGATTTTGATGACATGGGAACAAATATATGTAGTCTGCTTGCGACATCTGACTACAATGAAAGTACGATGCAAAGAAAAATGTTTTCCCTTTGTTCGTTTTTCTTCTTTTAGATGATGATACTAATCATCATCTAGGAGAAGCGTACTAACTATGTGTAAAAATAAGCAATAATACCGAAAGTCTGACATGAAAAATCCTGAGATCTTTGTTTTTGTTTAACGACATTCCATGAGACTCCTATAGACTACTACAATGCATATGAACTATTCAGACAGTGAAAATGACAATACCTGCTTGTTCTTTTATGCAATTTCATGTTTGTTCATAACATTGATACAATGTTTCACTTCTGAAAAAAACTGACCTAAGCATTTTATGTATTACTATTACTCATTTGTGAAAAAGACATAAGCAAAAGGAAAGGTTTTTATGGTGTCGCAAAAACGACAATGCTGAGTCATGTACCCTTCTTTCTTATCGATAGTAACACACACATGTAAGAGAAAAAATTGTTGATGTGATTGCTTGCTATCGTCATACGAGTTGCAAGTATTGCACAATTCGTTAGCAATGCTAATGATGCAATGAATAGAATATGAGCAAGGTTTATTTGTAGAATAATCCAATAACATGCAAGCGACTTGTTTGGAGAAGCATAATTGTACAAAATGGTTTTCTATAAAGAGGAAAATAGATCAGTTTTTGTTTTATGAAAATTGTTTTTTTATTGTTTTTCTGATCTCTGACCATATCCATCGTTAAGACACACTGAATCGAGTGCTTTGTGAAAGTCCCGCGTGTCACTCTAAAACAAATTTGAATAATTCAGATTTTGAAACCTTATGAACATCATCAACGTCATCAATCCGATATCTGGCGGATCGATATAGACATGCTAGTGAATTTTAATTTTGATACTGTCTTAAAAAAGTACTATTCATCATGTGCATTAGGGGTGGTGCATTAGAATTAGCATTGACATTTATTAATACTAATGCTAACATGCCACCTCTAATGTGCATATTCACTCAAGCTTATACCGAATGATTATAGTTTTCTTTTAATTTTGAGATTTCAAGTCCATTGAAAATCATAAATTTCTAGCTGTACAAGGAATAGGAAGATCTCTGAAAGAAGTGTGATAGTTCTGTTGAGTCTGGCTAGAAAATCAGAAAGATAAATGTTATCAGTGCAACTAGAATCATCAAATATTTGGAATGAAATACCATTCTGGACACTCTAGACTTTGAAATCCATGGAGTTATTTTATTCAAGATTTTGAGTAGCATGAATTATAATCGATGGGAAAAGTGAATTTCTATGAATTCTAATGCAATATTGTTTTAATCTATTCAGATAAATTCATAGTGATTTGGAATATTTTGATTTTAGTAAACAACTGCCTTGTTAGAGGTTGTCTCACAAGCCTTAGGCTAGAAATCTCAATGATAATTTATTCATAATCTATTTTGAAGGATTTTCATTTCGATTTTTTTATAGTTAAACAAGAATATGTCACATATGAAATTGATATACATGACTAAATCATGAATATGGGATAAAAAAAATATGCAAACACTTGTTATTATCAGCAGTTGTATGCCTGTATCAGTAATGACATTCATTACTTTATCCAGCATCAACATACTTTCGTCGTTGACTTTCTTTAAATTGGTAAAGCATAGTAAAATGTTTCCAGATAGATATCTACCATACGATTATGCAGCATAGAAAGTAGTTCGAGTTTCAATGTTTTTAGGTATCGAATTTCTGCAATGTTGAGGGTATGGGTGAATCAATCAAAAATAGATCGACCAGAACTCTAAATGGGATAGAACAAAGTTACTGTCCTATAGAATTTTCTTCTTTTCTTTCTCTCATAAAAAACACAAGTTTTATCTGATGAATAATAGACTCTAAGTAATGTATACATACGATCACTACATAGTAAGGCTTCTTATGGTCTCGTCGATGACATCTTTCATCATTAGAAAGTTTCGTTTCTTTCTTTCTTGTTGCAGTTTTTCCAAGTAAAACGTCATACACATTTTATAGAATTTTAAACAAAAAAATACCGGTTATTTTGTGAATGACTGTGCTTCATGATCGTTTACAATTTCGAATATTCTTCCGCCATAACTATGGATTCTTTAGATGAAATATATTGATCGTAATGAATGTTTACACGCTCACTTCACATTAATTTTCAACATAATGTGTTACAAGCTTCACTCAGAGAATATCAACGGATATATAGAAAATTCTGTAGAACTTTAGCGACCACAAAGTTCATCAGAATTCAAAAACATGTCAAGAAATGCGCTGAATCGTATCGGAGTATGAAAGAATGCTTAGTAAGTCTTAGCTTTTTTGGAAAAACTAAGTAAACATATCAGAAGTTCCGAGTTCATCAATATAAAAATATACTGCAAAAGGAGAATGATTCCTTCTTATTACTTCAGATATAATCGTGAAATATACTAAAAGAAATAGAGAGCCCTAAAACCTAGTGCAATTTAATAAATTCAAGTAGATCTCAATCAATTTCGATGAATTCACTATGATATTTGTAGAAGCTCAACAAACCGTAACATCCTAGATCAAATACTGCAGCTAGTTTTGACTTTCCTAATTACTGATATTAAAAATGACCTTATTTCTTGTAAATTTGACGAATAATCCTCTGATTTTATTTTCAATATTTTTTCTTTTTGAGAGAACACTAAAAGCTCGGAAAATCAGAATTATTCGACAAAACTGCAGCGGATCACAACGATTTCAAAAAAGAAGAAAATCAGAAAAATCATAACCGTTGAGAAGTTTGCCCTAAATTCACTGTATCGTTCTTGAAGAAACAATCATTCTTGTCAAATATTCGTTCTGTTGCCAAGAAACGATTCAGATAAAAATGAAGCTCATAATCATGATCAGTGTTCTGTTCCACATCTGTTTCATTCAAATTGATTAATAGATTATTGTTGTTTCGATTTTTTTAGTAATATTGACAAAAAGCATCGAATTACAATTTACAGTAGTGACAAAAAGAAAAATTCGGTCGATCCTTTTGATAAATCTTTAGTTGATTTTTGACGTTGATCAAAGAAACTGACCGCCAACCATTTTTATCAACAAGATCGAGTTGTTCTTAAACCGATGAACTCAGTTCGTCAAAATCGATATAGATACGAATAATTTTCGAAAACTCGTTATAATTTATTCAAGCTGAATTTTTTCTCTAAATGATTTTTAAGTAACCATACCATATAGAAGTGATTTTAGCTTAAAAGCACGTGTAATTGATTGAAACATACAATTGGTTTAGTGTTAAAAACATTTTCGTTCTGTTTTTTTAAGAGCTTTTGGAAAACTGAATGAGTTTTGCCACAAATATATGAATATGAAGCTGTAAAGCATATTGTTTTAGATATAAAAGATATTCAGCAAAAAAAAACTAACTTTCTATCAAATTCTGTTCGAAAACAACAGAATTTGACTGTTGTTCAAGAACTTTTGTATTACTCATTACTCCACCTATGACGAGAGTTCTCGAACGCACCTGACGTCATGATGATTCATCGTATAGGGAAATAAAGAAAAACATTGAATGTTGTTTCTTTTCCACATCGACAACGTTTTTTTCTTTCTTTTCATTTAACCGTCATTGGTGACAACAAGTGAGATTCATTTTAGTCATTCTGTATTTGAAGAGTTGACGTTTTTTTTTCGAATATTTGAATACATACGCGTAACTATGCATTTATGAAAAGTGGGTCTATTGGATTTCAATATAAAAAAAGCTCATTTTATACAGTGACTTTTTCTGTTCGACCACATAACTCCGTTTTCATTCCATGTGATCTCTATTGCAAAGCAGGGATATAAGAAGGAAAAACTGTAGAATAGGATTCTGCTTATATTACAAATGCCATAAATAGTCATCTGCTTTTAGAGAAAAATTTAATGCTATTCTGGCATAAGCAGAAAACATCCGTTAACGTTGCCAGTGAATCATCATTACTATTACTATTACTTAAACGTATTCATATTCAACACATTGATGATACACAACACAAACGGCTTCGCAATGTTAGAGACATATTTTCCTATTTGCACATTTGCTTTCTCGGATTAATACTGTTTCAATGTCCTAATCAAATTTACAATGTATGGTTGGGCCCATTTCATATTAATCTTGATCAAATTGCTACTCAATTTAAAACGCACACTGAACTCCGATATGACGCACGATCTGTTCTGTATCGTTGGTTTTCATTAGATCATGAATATCTTCAAATAGAACTTGGCGAAGATATGATTGATCGAGATATGACAAAGGCATTCAGAGTATTCAACGGTAAACGTTCATATGAAAAATTATTGTATGCATTCAATCGTGTAAGAGAATCAACCATTGATCAGTATGATTATAAATTTTATGTTGAATTACCATCAAACGAACAATCTTATATTCATCGACGTCTTTCTTATAATTTTCGAGCATTCCATAATCGTACATTAAGATGTATTATTCGACAACTCGATATTTCGCCTATGGAATATCTCAAACGGAACGAAAAGTCAATGTACATTCAAGCGATTGAACAAATTTATGATCGAAATGTAACATTATTCAACATAAAAGTCATAATTAAATGCGGTATTTTACTCGGATATCTCTATGAACCGAACGATAAAACTGTCTACCTATGGGATTCGAATGAAACCTATAAGCTGGGCAATCACATTATAGTATTCGATGCCTTGTCTCCTTATTGTCCTTACATGGCCTATATTCTCGTTTGTCTCTTGTTCGTACGTCCATTGATAAAAATTCTCTTCTCATTGGGAATATATCAATTCCATAAAATTCTTCCACCGTCATTTATGATTCATCGTTCTGTACAAGATGAACTTGCAAAATCAAATATTAATTCGATTATAATATTAAACAATCTTTTATTAAATACAGTCGCAGAAAGTAAACATTACGATCGACTATTTATTATACAAAACAAATATCTCGTCATGTTAATGATCGATTTTAATGAAAATAATCCAGAAATTCTACGTCAATTTGATAAACGTTCACCGTTTAAAATTATTTCTATTGATACTATCAAATCAGTTAGACACTATCACATTGTAGTTGCGAATCATTCCCGTTCGAAATATATCTATTTTCCAACTGATTCGTACCTCAGAGATTCCAATACCAGTGAATGGCTTCATCAGCGATTAATACATATCAGTGATCAATATCGACACCAGTATATTCTATTTATTCAGCTATTTCCATAAAAAAAGGCAAGCATGTCTTCTTTTTCGTTCTAGTTTGGAACAAGAACAAATTCGTCAACATCAAGAAATTCTACGTGCTCAACAACAAGAGCATCAACACCATCTCAAGGCTCTTATACACGAAGAAGCTGAATATCAATATAATACCTATGGTCATAACTTCAATCGAATGTGGCACCGTATAGCATCGGCATCACCTCGTTTTATTGCACAATTTCGTTTAGAAGATCGTCAATTAGTCAATAGTGATCAGCCAAATATAGAATGTAGTCTTTGCTATGAAGAATTTCGTATTGGTCAGCATTTTGCTCAATGGCCTTGTAAAGCCAAACATAGTTTTCATTTTGATTGTATGTTAAGCGCATTGCGTGCGCGAAATACTTGTCCATTATGTCGACATCCCGTCGAAGCAGCTTATTTACCTAGTAGACAGACTGTACTTCAATACATGGCAGGAAGAATAATACCTCGCTTCTTTACTTGATGTTCAATATAATTCATAAAAAAAAGAATATTGACAATCATTGTGTATAATCAACAACCAGAATTCAGCAACTTGCGCGCCATTGTTGATCATTTTTTTGAGTATTTTATTTCGTGCAGGATCCAACTTGTGAACCGTATAAATCAATAATCAATACTGACTTTTTCTAATTAACAGTCATAAATTGAGGGAATATCGAAGTACGCGACATTGAGTTTGCTGCAAAAAAGTTTATTTCGTCAAACAAGAAACCATATACAAGTAAGTAGTGTGTGATTGCTAATAAATGATTTGACCATCGTTTTGGGTGTGTCAATAATTGACGTATGATGCTAGATCTTGAGAATGCGAACAGTGGGAAAAAATCTGTAAGAGTTTATAACTACTAATAATTATTAAATTTTTGCATAGAATCGTTCATATGTTTTGCATTGAAAAAAAATTACTAAAAACCAGCATCGGCGATATGAAAAGTTTCGAACAAATTTCGTTGTTCAAATTATCTCAATAAGTCACATTGTAGCTTATTGTACCGGATCGAGTCATAAAGAATTGCAAACAGAAATAGGTCAAGTAGGAAAATAGTAGAAAAAGCAAGCAGAAAATGATTAATTTACATTGTATTTCAGTGTTTTTCCGTTGGATTTTTGCATCATCCGGTCAAACTCGAAACATTGTCTCTGCTACAAAAGTTTGGCTCTGCGTTCTGACGGGCTTTACGATTAAATGTGACACAAGCCAGCTCATAAAAAGTAAAGACGCCGTTTTTTCCTCAAATCACTAATTTTCTTTCAGATTCAATTTTTTTCCCAATGAACTGATGAGATTTACGTAAAGCTCAAAATGCTGAATTATACAGTATATGGGTTGCTTGAACTTGGCACCTCCATATAGTGCCTGAGAGCGAGAGCAAATGATTTTCAGATCTATTAAGTGGTCCACTTAAATAGCAAAAGAAACAAAATTACTTCACTCTTATAGCGTTATTGATTAAAAAATTACACATCGATCGGATTTTGCTGATTCCTTGGGATGGAAATATTTTTCGTGGAGTATTTATCTGCTCTTACCTCCGGTAGAACTTTTGTGATTTTTGATATTCAAGTTCTTAGCGGATATTACGAGAGGAAAATTTTATAAATTCCAAGCTTTTGATAATGTTTTGGTCTCGGCAAAAAGGACAGTTTTGTCCTACTCTTACAAAATTTACTTTCGTGCCTTCATCTCATCAAACACTTCGATTTTTGTTTTTCTTTTCCTTATCCTTATCCAATACATGTTGTGCACGTTTTCGTTCATTCGCCTCATCATTTCATCTCTTTCTGCCACGTCATCCCTCTAAGGTTAGTAGACCGACGATAGAGAGAGAACTCCATAATCGTACGAAAAATGGTCGACGTCCATTTCTAATTTTTTTCTAATGTATAAATCTTGCGCCTTTCAGTGATATTCTCCTCTCGCATCTTCATCATATTGATTTGAATTTTGAGCCATTTCTTCAACTCAGGGTGTGCATGTGAATCAAGATAAGACAACAACTACAGCCGCATCAATTCCACACTGAGAACTATACTCATACCTACATTCCCATTCTTAGGTCAATATTTATCGTATATAAAAAATTATACATTATCATTACTAAAAATTCAATACTTTTGATGTTATTATATTGTTGAACTGCATTTGTTTCAAGGACTGATATTTAAAATATTTAGAGATGAGTATTCATAATTGTAATTAATAACTCCATATCAAATGTACATGAGAATAAATATCGACTATTTTTGTTGTACGGCTTTTTTAGCTTATATACATATATGCTTGTTACATATTACAAGTTTCTGAATAAAGAACAATTCAGTTTTATTCTACTACCTTTTGGCTTTTCATGTCTTTTGAAGTATAAATATGTAAGTGGACGTTCGTGTAAAAATGCTGCAGATTTACACCTATAAAAACACACATACATCCAACAGACGGCTCATTCTCAAAAGAGAAAAAGAATTTGTATAGTTACAAGCTATCGAAAGAGACCAAAAAGATATACTTCAGACAGCTGCACAACTAATACATTTTTCAGTAGCTATTTAATGCATTTCTATTTTCTTAACTGTCTCGCTACTTTATCTTCAGCACTACTTAGACTTTTCTAGTGCTATACTTATTGGTTTTTCATAGCTACTGATTTCATTTGTACTCTTAAGTATTTAGCTATTTAATCTCCAACACTATGTAATACGATTCGATAGCTATTTTAAATTGAATGAAAGCTACTGAATATTTATCAAAATTGTTTTATTCTTTTTGTGATATTTTTTATTAGAATGGGTATCGAACCCAGAGCAGCACTTAAACACGTGAAGTATTATTTAATAAAAGCTCGACTACTTATTTATTTCTACTGTCTTATTTTCGAGCAAGGGGTTAAAAAAAGAATTTTAATACTTTGAAGACGCTATAGTGTATAAGAAATGATTAGACTTTAGTAAAATCTGTTGTTATTCAAACTTGAATATGAGAATTCAAACATTAGCATAACGATTTGTAAAAATCAATATGTCTGTAACGAGTTTTCTTTTAATGCACGAATTCATTTAATTAGTTTCTTAAAATCTCGCGCTGCTTATAAAAATATAGAGCTACTTAACGATTAAGTAGCTATATATTTTTCGAAAAAGTATTTCTTTCAAGAAGCTGCGCCTACAGACAACAGGAAGGGAATATTCTAATATATTGTTGTCATTAACTGAGTTTCTATCACTCGATGAACTGCCAATATGAAATTTGTCTCATTTTTTGTGCCTTATGTGAAACTGTAAACGCAGATCCTTTTTCGATTAAATATGAAGCATAATCTATTTCTTCCAATTTTCATTTATAAAAGCAAATATTGAAACAAATTCGTTTAGTATCCAATATGTCATTATTCATGCCGTTCTTTCTTTTTAACTAATGCTGTTATAGCGCCAAAACACCATATAGTGGCGTTGTTTGGCATTATAAGGACACTAAGTATCGTAATATATTCGAACACTCTAGCGTTGCAAAAGCGCTAACGCTAAAAAAGAATCGCTATAGTTGCTGTGCTTTTATCTGTAAATAAAATACTACATAAAATATGTGCTATTGTGTACAAATTTTTGATGATCTGATTGATCGAAAAAAAATCACAATTCATAAAATTAGCGTTTGATATTGATCATCATTCGAATGTTATCCTGGGTCCTTGGTTTTGGTATGATGATTTTTTTCCACAAAATATATCTCTTAGTATTTATATTTCGTGAATGATCTATTATGTAAATTTCTTGTCAAAAGCGCAAGTTCTGTCGAGAAACCTAGAGAAATTTCTATCACAACAAACAGAAAAGACATCCGGTTTTCTACTTTCGTTTGATTAATAAAAACAAAAATGACTTTTCAAAGACATATGCGGCTGTTTTCAAGACTTCTAGACACTCACACCCATATCCTAGGGATTTCTAAGCATTTTCAGGTATTTCAAGTTATTTCTATGTACTATGGGCACAATTACCTGGAAATACCTAGATATACGTTGAAATACGTTGAAATACGTTGAAATACATAGAAATACACAAATACGCTTTTCCCTCCTAGGATGCATGACTGTACATGCACGACAAACCTGATCAATAACACACATAGAATATGTAGTAGCATAGAGAATCGATTGATGTAGTATGTACCAAAAACGTGACAAGATGTATACTAATGTCGGATGTTTTTTAAACTCCTAGTCACCATTTTTTAAATAACTCAGCAACGATGATAGCTATCGAGCTGGAGTTTTCACCATTGGATAGAGCGGCGCGGGAAGTTCCTTATCATATACGAGGAATAGAAATCAGAGTTTTGTTTTGCCTATGTTTTTAGATGAATATCTATTTTGATACATAACCCCTATGCTCTCACGAGGGAACCTCACCAACTGATACACTCCGTTTGAGCTCATATTTTGCTCATAGGTAGGGCTCATAGTGTAGATAAAAATCCTAGAAGGATTCGTCCCCATGCTGCTTTGTCGCAGAGAAACAAGCACAACAAGTTTCTCTGAAAATGGCATTATTGTATTTTTTATTAAAAAAATTTATTTTTATATCTCGATAAAAAGATGTTTTC